TGAACATTTTGGTAACAATGTATGTTTTAATTTTGTGTTTGAACATTTTGGTAACAATGTATGTTTTAATTTTGTCTTTGAACATTTTGGTAACAATGTATGTTTTAATTTTATGCTTGAACATTTTGGTAACAATGTATGTTTTAATTTTGTGTTTGAACATTTTGGTAACAATGTATGTTTTAATTTTGTGTTTGAACATTTCGTTAACAATGTATGTTTTAATTTTGTGTTTGAACATTTTGGTAACAATGTATGTTTTAATTTTGTCTTTGAACATTTTGGTATCAATGTATGTTTTAATTTTATGTTTGAACATTTTGGTACAATGTATGTTTTAGTTTTTCCAAAATGTTCAAACACTAACAATGTATGTTTTAATTTTGTGTTTGAAAATTAGAGTTTTTGTCACTTTCTGGAAGCGAAGAAAAACTAGATGCAACATGTATATGACGTCAATTAGTTGATGGTGTTTTTGAGTAGTAAAACGCTGTTATAGTTGATGGTGTTTTTGAGTAGTAAAACGCTGTTATAATTGGAATGCAGTCACATAGCATCTTATATAATTATACATCATTTCAAGTGGAATGACGTCAGATTGTTGATATCGTCTTTTCGAGTGATCATTAATCTTGCAAATAGAATTCAAATTGACCTCAATTCAAGCATTCAACATCACTATACACAAATAACGAGCTTTTTAAGAAAACGTTCAGTAAATCTTTATGTATATTGTGTTGTTGAAAAGTCTCGAGTAACTCATAAGTACACTCAAGTTTTAAGTCGCCTATCTTTAAAGCTTGTATATAATTCCAATCTTTACTTGCGAACGTATTGAATTTCTTACCCAGCATTTTGACAACTGCACGGCGAGAAGACTGGTTAGTACTCCGGCAACTAGCTAGTTCGGGAGTCGAATCTTTGTGGCCGGCAGTGAAACGCCGAAGTTTTAGACCAATCAAGATGTAGAGAAACGATATGACTGTGAGTGGGAGGAGGAAGAAGAGGAGAGCCGACGCTTCAAAAATGTAGGGTAATACCCTTTTTATACCACATGTAGCCGACTCCAAGATGGCTGTCTCGTTACCGTTTAGCTGATAGACTATTCCAAGCTGGACAACGACAGGAATCGAACACAGAGTGGCAACTACCCAGATGAATACGATTATTTTTAAAGCACGAGAAAGCTGGGACATTCTGTGGGCTCGGAGAGGATGGCAGATGGCCAAATATCGTTCCACCGTAAAAGCTGTTATGGTCAGGATGGACGCGTTTGTAGACGTCTCTGATGTCAATCCTCGGATAACACAAAAGCATTCTCCAAAGATATAAGGATAACTCTGCCATGAAACGTATATCTCCTGCGGTATGCCTAGTACCAGTAGAAGTACATCAGACACGGCCAAGCTGAACAGGTAATAATTGGTGGCCGTGTGCATGTATTTGTTTCTAGCAATTACCACGCACGTGCAGATGTTACCCACTACCCCAGTAAGTAGAATTACAGTATAAACTACGGTCATTGGAATGACCAGCGAAAGAGCAGCACGCTTTGGGCCTAAATGTTCCTGCAAGTATCCTGTTTCGTTAACCATGGTCGTTACTCGATTAAAGTCAGTTTCCTCACTGTTCCGATCGGATGTAGTTTCTCTATCGGTGCTAATAAGAACTGTTACTCCCTCCTGTCAGCTAAACCCGAGCCCTGAAGAGGCTTCTACCAAAACCCCGAGCACATTTCTTTACACTCCTTCAGTGATCGCTGGACTTAAAGTCCGCTCTCTAAATAGGCTAACTCGAGTATGATCTGCGCACCTCGCGCCACAAGTGTTCTGCTTCGACTAACCTACTTGATTGATGTCGCCGAAAATCGATACACACACACGTGCACGTGTTTCACCATCCTGTGGGTTTTGGAGCGACCATCTTAGAGTACGTAAAGCATTTGTAGCAACAACATCAAATATATGTTAGAGCGTAATATATGCTAACCTGGGCTCTAAAGAAAAATAATATTATTAAACTTTTCTTCGCATTTGTCCAGCCTCATATAATATACTGGGAGTCAATAGTTCGTGTTTCATGCTGATTCAATCTAGAGAGGCATTTCATGTTGTGTTTCAGTCTATAAACCATGTTTCATGTCATGTTCTAGTCTATACATTTATTGTTGTGTTTCAGTCTATAAACCCTTTTTATGTTATCTTCTATTCTATAAACACTTTTCATGTTATGTTCTAGTCTATAAATCATGTTTCAGGTTATGTTCTAGTCTATAAACCACGTTTCATGTTATGTTCTAGTCTATAAACACTTTTCGTGTTATGTTCTAGTCTATAAATAAGGTTTCAGGTTATGTTCTAGTCTATAAACACTTTTCATGTTATGTTCTAGCCTATAAATCATGTTTCAGGTTATGTTCTAGTCTATAAATAATGTTTCATGTTATGTTCTAGTCTATAAACACTTTTCATGTTATGTTCTAGTCTATAAATCATGTTTCAGGTTATGTTCTAGTCTATAAACCACATTTCATGTTATGTTCTAGTCTATAAACCATGTTTCTTCTTCTATTTCAAATGAAGTAAGAGATGTATGGTTGTGTTATCGGATTCTTGTTTAAGCTTTTCATACCCAGGTATTATATTATACATTCTATCCCGTCCAATGTCTCAACAGTGACTTCTCAAGTATTATATCCTGTGTTGTGTCTCGACCACTATATCAAATTCATGCTAGTGACGTAGTATGGCATGCATTGTCTTGGCCAGTGTATTAAATTATTCAAGACTCTATTTCCTCTACATATAAAACATTAAACGTTTCTCCTCATTCCATTTTCTCTACAAATATTATGGTCTCTTGCTAATCATAAAGCTACACAATGGGCTATCTGTACTTTGCCCTCCGCGGATGCTGAAATGCGATTTTCAGCATTATAAGCCCTCAGACTTTTATCGACTTTTCCACTGGCGTTATTTCTTCTGCATAGAAAAATAACAAGAAATTAAAGATAAAAAAAAACTATTAAAGATGGTATGGTTTAATTTTACGTTAGTTTTTAGCTCAATCTGCCTTGTCTAAGTAATAATATTTTAATAAAATTTATAATTAAAAACGAATGTAGTTAACTTTGGGTTCAATTTACCGTAGCTAAGTTTAACAACTTCTGTAATTGAAAACGACCGTAGTTTTTGGTTTAATTTATCATAGTTGAGTAATATTTAATTTAGTAACATTTGTTATAAAAGAAACAATTTGACTGTAAATGTTTGTTCTTTTTCTCATATTCCTCTGAATTTGTCCATAACGGCTCCACAAGTATAGAAAATGGAATTAAAAATCTATCTTTTGTCCAGTAACGTTTTCCTTCAACACCAGAACTCATCAGTTGGGCTGGACGATGAAACAAATGATTTGTTTTGTTTTCTGTTTCGTAATCATATTTTATCCACGGACTGGTAGGTCATCGGGGGATCACTCCTCCTCTTCGGCCACGAGACGGATGAAAGCCGGTGCATGAAGAATTTAACTGTTGAGTGACAAGACCAGAATAAATTATACGTTTCTGAATCACGTGAAACTTTATTGGAGGCAAGAGTATTGTGAAAAACTGGGTACTGGAAGAAGTAGTCCAAGAACAATGAGTCATACAAATGGTCAGAGAATCAATCCATTAAGTCTCTTGATAAACGTAACTGGGTTGATTCGGTTGATGACAATCGTTTTGGTGAGGATCATCAGGTTGAAGCGACAGAGGTTGAATAAATGATCAAGTGGGGGTAAGCCTTAGCGAAACGGTCAGACAGACATTGAGAAAAGATTGGCAAATATGAGATTTTGGTTGAGAAAACATTATTGAACATATCGAATGTGAAGGTTTGGATAGAAACTGGTGGGTAAGTGATGCGTTATATTTGCTGTGTAACTTGACATGAAAAGTGAGTCTACTGTCACGAAGTTCCAGAAGTTATAGTTGATGATAAAAGTTGTAATGAGCCAGGCAATATTGATGATAAAAGTTGTAATGAGCCAGGCAATATTGATGATAAAAGTTGTAATGAGCCAAGCAGTATTGATGATAAAAGTTGTAATGAGCCAGGCAGTATTGATGATAAAAGTTGTAATGAGCCAGGCAATATTGATGATAAAAGTTGTAATGAGCCAGGCAGTATTGATGATAAAAGTTGCAATGAGCCAGGCAATATTGATGATAAAAGTTGTAATGCGCCAGGCAATATTGATGATAAAAGTTGTAATGAGCCAGGCAGTATTGATGATAAAAGTTGCAATGAGCCAGGCAATATTGATGATAAAAGTTGTAATGAGCCAGGCAGTATAATCACAACTGAGACAGGGTCGAATGAAGATCTTGTAACAGATGGGGTGGATGTAACCCTCAGGAGGTTCCTGACAACTGAAGGTGGAGATGCAGATGGGAGGTGACTTTCTGGTTGAGAGACACCATCTGCACCTTCGAGATAAGATGTTGTCGAAAGTAATACCGAGAGCTGAATGAAGACATCAGTCAATTCGAACATTAAATAATGGTGAGCTGTGGCAAGAATGGTGTTTATAGTGTTTAGGGTCAAAACGTATGTCTTTGGAGCTATCACTAAGATCTTTCCACTAATGCCCCCAAGATCACAGCTCACTACGATGTCTCCATTCAACAGATTGTAAAACTTTATTGTAATTGATCATTGTGCGACAGGTGGCGACAAGATCTGTATCATCAGCATATTGGAAAGGATGAACGGGAAATTTAGGGCGTGGCATGTCAGCAACATATACGATTTAAAGGAGAGGAGACAATACTGATTCTTGAAGGACAGCAAAGTATAGGAAGAAGGATGAAACTATGGCTCGTTTACCAGTGGAAAGGTGTTGACAAAATAGACGTAAGTAAATGGAAGCAATAAACGGTGGAGTTTGAAGATGAATCCGTATGACATACGGAATCAAAACCAGATTCAATGTGAAAAATATGCATACCAGAAAGTTTGAAAGAGTTAAAATGATTGTTGAATGTATTAGAAAGTTTGAGGAATTGATCCACGGTAGAAAGTTAAGATCGAAATCCAGCTGGAGAATTAGATAGTGTATCATAATCTTGAAGAAAAAACGTGGATTTTACATACAAGGATGCATTAAAGGGATATGATAAAGATACTAGTAAGGATGATGGAACGATAATAATCAACTTTGACAAAAGTCCTTTTTGACTTTAAGAACAAAATAATAGTGGAGTTTTCCTGGAGTAAAAAAACAACAACAATCCCAACTGAAGAAGAACTGTATAGAATGTTTCAAGAAGAATAAAAAATCATGTTGAAGCATGTTTAAGATGAGAATAAGTTGATACATCTGGACTAGAAGCTGGGTTGTATCTATCTCTGATAGATTCATCTGGACCAGGAGCTGTGTTGTACCTATCTCTGAGAGATTCATCTGGACCAGGAGCTGTGTTGTACCTATCTCTGAGAGATTCATCTGGACCAGGAGCGGTATTATATCTATCTATGAGAGGTTCATCTGGACCAGGAGCTGTGTTGTACCTATCTCTAATAGATTCATCTGGACCAGGAGCTGTGTTGTACCTATCTCTGAGAGATTCATCTGGACCAGGAGCTGTGTTGTACCTATCTATGAGAGATTCATCTGGACCAGGAGCTGTATTGTACCTATCTTTGCGAGATTCATCTTGACCAGGAGCTGTATTGTATCTATCTCTGATAGATTCATCTGGACCAGGAGCTGTGTTGTACCTATCTCTGAGAGACAATTCATATTGCACTACATTAGGAATATTATCTCGAGTTAGTGCAACAGATGAGTTTAGTGTGGGTGCAGACAGAGCTGTGATGCATGCAGGATCATCAGAGTCCATTGGATACTGAACTAGAAATTTAGCTTCCAAGAAATAGGCCAAAGCATTAGCTTCGGAAAAGGATGA